GGTTCAGAAGAGGCAGAAGTGAGAAAAGGGCCATGGACGATGGAAGAGGACTTGATTCTCATCAACTATATCACCCACCACGGCGACGGAGTTTGGAACTCTCTGGCCAAAGCTGCAGGTTAGTCCCATCAACACGTGCGTATATATATATACACAATCCTGCTTATGTATATATAACAGATGCATACGCGCAATAATGCTCGTATATATATATATATATATATGTGTGTGTGTGATTGATGATAAGATATATTTTTATGTATAGGACTAAAACGCACGGGAAAAAGCTGCCGGCTCCGGTGGCTGAATTATCTCCGCCCCGACGTACGGCGTGGAAATATTACAGCGGAGGAGCAACTCATCATCATGGAACTCCATGCAAAGTGGGGAAACAGGTCGGTTTGAAAGCTACACATACACATATGCATGTATTTTGTAAACGAAAATACACAAATTCACAGATTTGGATCGTATATATACTTTTGCACTTTCCTCGACGTGTTTTTAACGGCAAAAAAGTACAAATGGATTCCATCACTAAGCGAAATTGGTGGGTCTCAGCCATCAAAATTACTAACACGTGCAGAAATCCCACATGCCCACTAACGTTGATCCTCGTGCCTCTATTATCAAGAAACTCGTGGCTACTTTTTTGCGCAATATTAATTTTTCGCATTTCTATTCCCTAGTAATAATAATCATGTGTGTGTGTATATATATATATTCTTTAATCATTATTACGTTACTTTCAATTTGTTTTATTACGTTTTTTATTATCTAATGATGTGTTGCACTCTTATAATCATCATTAATAGGTGGTCAAAGATAGCAAAACACCTTCCGGGAAGAACCGATAACGAGATCAAGAATTTCTGGAGGACAAGAGTCCAAAAATACATAAAGCAATCCGAAACGACGTCGTCCGTTGGATCACAGGGATCCGAGATCAACGATCAGTACCCGAGCCACGTCTTCAGCGCACGAGATGCAATGGAGGCATATTCTACAACGACGTCGTATCAAGGAGACATGGAACTGAACCACAGCTATCCCATGTCTTCGGTGTCGCCGATGTCGTTGACGGTCGATCAGCCGGGCGAAAACTATTGGACCATGGATGATCTCTGGTCCATGCAATTACTTGATAGCAATTAATTAGTAGATAAATTAATAAATTTTTAAAAAAAAGCTTGTTTAGTGGATACATACATATATATATATATATATGTGTGTGTGTGTAGTCATGTTCCGAGCTATACATAAATAAAACTATGGAACGTACGGACCATATATTTTTCGGAATGATGTGTCTTTTTTAAATTGCTGACTAAACAAAAAAAAAATAGTGTTCGCGTGTATATTTTGTGAGACCATTTAATAATATTATGGTATATGTACATATACTTTCTATTATAGCTGCGGAATTCAAAGTTTGTACTATGCCATCACGTGTTGATGTACTAATTACATATATATATATATATATATAACAAGATTTTAATGGCTTACGGAACACTCTAGTGCAATATACATACCAAATGACGTACAACCCATGGACACACAGGAACACGAATCCACCCTATCACCAGATGACACGTGTCACGCGTAGCTAAAATTCATTTTATATATTTCATGTTGTCCATTTTGAACCACATATGCATTTTTGTGCACGGCCATGCATCATGTAGAGTCCGGGACCTAACTCCAAAAACCAAAACAACAAGAACACGACATAGATATTAATGTCACTATATGATCCATTTGGAAAAGAAAAAAAGAAAAAAAAAGAAGGCACTATCAATATTGGTTTCTAAATTCCAAAAACCCCAAATCGGTGCTTATAAAAGCCCATCATTTGACTTCTCTAACATCAATCGATAGTAATTGGTTAATATTCACAAAATTAAGGATTTTCTTTTTCTTTTTTTTTTTGGTTAAAACACAATTAAGGATTTTCTCATTAGCGGTAACTTTACAAAAACGAGTTTAAATAATCGGACCGGCCTGATCGAATATTATTGGTGGATCGACATAAGGATCGGTCGGGTATGGCGTATGCATTTAAGGTTCACCCAACTTTTTACTTTAGCATCGAAGTCCTTTGTCCGAATAAGATAGATCCAAACTCCACTTCCTCTTCTATTCCTGCGTTGCCCTTCGTAGAGGAGAAGCATGAGAAAAACACGTTTAAAATCAAGAGGACCAAGTATTGCTACTACAAATATACACCTATACACATATATGTGTGTATATGTGCATGTTGTATACACATTCGTGGATATGGATATAAAAAAAAAAGCTACATGGTATATATATACTCGAACCATCACTTTTTGATTCGTTTCTCAGAGGATTTTGTACGTATATTTAGATCTGTGCACCATATATATATATACATGTACGTATATGCGTGTGCGTGAAATGTGAAATATCGTTTTGGGCCGCTCGTTTTGATAAAACCCACGTGGATTTCGTGTTTGAATTGTCAACTTGCCATGTGAATTATTAAAAGGAGAATCACATGGCGGGTCGGCCACAAGTGGTTATAAAAAACGTGGAGGAATTGAGAGGTACATCACACATATATATAAAAATTTACGTTTAACAAAAACAAAACGTGGAGGAATAGGTCTTATATTTTTTTATTCTTCTTACAAAAAAAAATGGCGAGAAACGACTAAATTAGCAATCATAATTAAATAAAAGGTATATATATATATATATATATATGTGTGTGTGTGATTTGTAGTAAATATAATTAAGCCTATGTTCTTGAAGAGATTAATATCCATTTAGAGTACGTCTCTCATAGAAACAAATCTTTAAAACATTTCTGTTGTTTCTCATTTACTATATGCATTGAGAATAACTATGAACACATAAACATATTATATCTAATAAGAATTGTAAGTATAATTAGCTAGAAATCATCCTGCTTAATTAGGACACAGATATTGTAATCTAATGCGTGCGGGTGCATATATATATATATATATGTGTGTGTGTATATATTAAAAAAAGAAAAAAGAAAAAGACATTAGAATAAACAAACATCCATGTCGATTGATGAGGACATCTCAAGAGCTAGAGACGTGGTCTTGTTACTTAGTTAAGGGCATATACCCTTATTTATTTATCCAATTTCCGTCTGAAAAGTCCTCTTCCATGGACTTGGCTCGTTTCCAACTCGGAAGACTTTGTTTGGTATTATTATCACTATATGTTAAAATTTATCATAATTATTTAAATAATTTATATAAAACTAATTAATATTAATTTGATGTGTTTCTAATAAACTAAATTAATATTATTTAAATTTACATATATATATATTGTAATTTCTAATAAATTTAAGACATAATAAAATGTCGAAACTAACTAAAAACTACAATAAATTCTTCAACGCGCATTTTTTTTTTTTTTTTTTTTTATCGTTTCGCCTTAATGGGCCTATTTGAGATATAGAGGGCCCATATTTATGACTAGATCCAAAGAAAAAGGCCCATTTAAAATTTAGCCCTCCGTTTACAAAAACCCTATGCCTCGGCTCTCTCTTTTTGGGCTCTTCCCTTTTTATCTCATCCATCTTGTAAAAAGAAAAAACTAAAATTACAAGGACAAAAGATAACAAATATTTCTATTTTCTAATATGAAATAAATAAATAAAACTATTAGCTGAAAATTATGGATTTTCAATTTCAAATATTTTCCATAAAAACTAAATTGTAGAGTTTTTAGAAATATTTTACAAAATTGGAAAAAAAAAGGGGGGGGGGGGGGGGGAGGAAAA